AAACGACAATTCTTTTTCTAGACTCTGCTCCACATCCAACGCCGTTGAAGGACCTGCCCCAAAATCTATGCTGGCCTTTCTTCTCTCCATGGGTCGCTTGTTTGATAAATCCATGTGCTCAGCTAAGAGAGGCACTCCAAGTGAATACACGCTTCCATTGGGTGCTATCAGAACTCTGGACAGAGTCGTATCATCCTCGGAATCTGTATCATTATGGTCTCCGTCACTCTCAAGTGCACGCTCCTGCGCTTCCTTGCGTATAAATTTTTCTAGACTCTCAATCAGTATCTGCTCAAACGCCTGGTGATTTTCCTTCCGCACATCTCTGTACCCATACCTGTTTTGAATGCAAAGCACTTTATATATAAAAATGTTGTTGTTATAACTAAATTGTCTTCCATATGAAAAACGGTTGCTTTGTTTACCTGGCTACACAGCGGAATAAATGATAGCTTCTTGGGCAGACACGTCTGAAAAGAAATCTCTCGGTCTGAGGCACAGTTGGAACAGGGACATACTTTATACACACAAAGATAACCATGGAATGGATTGCAGGAAGGGTGGTTAGAAAATGACCAAAAATTGCCGGAACTCCTTTGGCTAGCTCATTATAAAGCAGACCAATACCGGGTGCTCTAATCGTCCCAAGGTTACTGCCCAGTTCTCGTAGTAGGTCCATTGGTAGCTTTTTCTGGACTTCAGTTTCATACTTCAGTTTACTCCCGTAGTTCCAAACGAACATTATGAGAAACATAATTGTAGCAAAAACCAGGATTATCCAACTTCCATCAGCCACACTTGCACAAACTGATGAGAAGAAAATCAGTTCGACGACCAGGGAAACAAATGCAAACATGCTCACAACTATGATGTTCGTTTGCCAGATAAGAAGCATGATAAGGGTCACCAAAATTGTTGTAGTCATCATAATTCCCAGCTCTGCGATGCCTGAAGATCCAAATCCAAAACCACAGGCGTGAATATCTCTCGGATTAACGGACAAGCCACAAAAAAAGTGGACATAAAAGTTGAAAAGTAAAGAACAATGACGGATCATCTTTATAACAGAAAAACATTAGACATGATGTACCAGAACTTAAGTTTCAACAACTTGTGCCATAAAACTACTTAAAAGTAACTAAAACGGGTTTCAGCTAAATATTTCAACTTTCCCCAAATCAGGTGCTACAAGAAGAAAATATTACCATATGCGTTTCCAATCGCGAAGATGTTTGAAGTAGAGCAGACAACGATCAAACACACCACCAGAAGGGACCAGTTAAGAACCGGTATGTAAATCTGTCCAATGAATTTCTTTGAGGTGTGAATGATTTTAAGACGTGGGAAACAGCCTAGTGCTATTGACTGTTTGATGCATGTAAATGTGGCTGTTGTCATTGCACGACTGGCAATTAAAGCAGCTATATTAGAAATGAGAAAGACTGGCCAGAATAAAGAACCTGGAAAAAAAAAAAAAAGAGTAATAAATAGTTAGCAACGTGATATGAGAGGTAAAATCAAGCCAGCAAATGAAGGAATACCCTTGTTGATCTTGACGTACTGTGGAAGCTAGTGGATCTTACTTGGAACTGACGAAAAGAAAGCATCCCCAGCATCGCTGAAATTTTCAGAAAGGTATGCGGCTTGACCCAAATAACCCAGCAAGAGGCAAGGTAACACCAGAAGGGTAAAAGTAAGCTGCAGATAAACACTACCACTGAATCAAAAGATGACTCTAAGAAAGACTACTATCAGAAGAGCAGGAGCAAGAAAATGAGTATTTAACTCTTTAAACTACCTGGACAGAGTGAACAGAAAAATAGCTAAGATCTGCAAACATGGCCTCCGATCCTGAGACAAGATCCACATGTATACGAATGAGCAATGACATTTAGTCAAAAGGTCATTCAATATATTTAAGTTTGTAAAATATTTCCCAGAATATGAAACTTACCAGTTGCACATAGAACGCAACCCCCAAGTGCATACCATGCATTTACAGAGTTTCTCTTGAAAAAGAAATAGATATATGCAGGATTGAACGCTTTAAAAACGCTGCTGTCATATTTAACAAGGTTGTAAATTCCAATGCCCGCTAGACAAAAAAACCACAGAAGTAAAGCAGGACCCAAAACAAGCCCCAATTTGCTGGTTCCATATTTTTGTACACTGAACAAGATCACAAGAAAGCTGATTGATATCACGACCACCTGATCTGCAAATGAAGGCATAGTCAGAAACTTTTCACAAAAAAATAGGTCACTAATCACTCATTAAGATAAGATTATGTTTTTTGAAAGCTTTGTAGAATTATTAGACAATATTGAGAGGGAGTTTATCCTCTTCTTGGCTGTATCTATGATCTAATTGAAGTCAAGGGGACCAGGAATAAATATATCTAAGGAAACGTTTACAAGTTGTGAAAGTCAGATGAAATCATGCTCATGACCATATATAGGCTAATAAATGTCAACGAGAATTATGAGTTACCTTGTTCTATAACACCAACTCCAACCTTCAGACCACCAATAGCAGACATTACTGTGTCCAAAAAGAGGATAGAATTAGCTGGAGTTTATTCATGCAATAGTAATGCTCATTGCTCACATCCTTTTCCCTATAATTTATATGTGACATAGTACCTGACATTGCTGGTGTAACAACAGCATCAGCAATGACCATAGCAGTGCCGGCAAGAACTAAAATCAGAAGAAGCTTTTTCAAGGCCATTGACGCCTCAAGTCTTTCTTTAATTATCAAGGATCTTTCAAGTTCTGGAGATGGAACCTTCAAACCAAAGCCTGAGATGCGAGCATCTGATGGAAGTTGATTTGGAATAAGGCTAACATTTGCGTGCCGGCAGATCAACGAATACAAAGCAAACGTACCACCTGCAGTTCATTTCCAAAAATTAAAACTTTTCACCTTAAAAGAACTTCAATCTACACCATATAAAGGAGGAAAAGATATACCTTCACCATCGTCATTGGCCCAAAGAACAAAATGTACATACTTTACAAGAGGAATCAATATTAAAGTGTATATAACCAATGACAAGGCTCCAAGAATATCATCTTTGTCGTTAATCGGAGATCTTCTGAACATGACAGTGAAGGTATACAATGGACTAGTTCCAATATCACCAAATACAACCCCAAGTGTCTGCAAAGCAAGTATGAGTTTCTTTCCTATACCAGTGTCCTACAAAAACAGATTACCAAGTTCTTCTTCAACTTAATCAGATCGAAAAGTAAACAACATGAAGAAGAAAGAGCATTCACACACAGATGCTAACCTCAATTTCGTTTTTCTGAGTTCCAGGAATCTCAAGAGCATCTACATCAAAAGAGTCAACGGCAGGGCTAGTTCGAATCAAACGCTGCTCCACATTGTCATCCTCCTCATCGGAATCCATTTCCGCGTGATTATGCTCATCATATCCGTCATCGTCGTAATCTTCGTTAACCTCATAATCATCCTTCTCATCGAACACCCATCGCGACAATGACGTCGTCGAATCGTCCCCGCCAAACTCCTCATCAATCTCAGACCCATCACCTCCACTGCTTTCTTCTTCCACGTGAAACATCAATTACCGTCGGAAAAAACACTGAAGATCTCGAGATTGTGATTCAGATTCGTATCTCTGATCCAAGGAACAGGGTTGGAAATTGAGAGATTGAGAGATGGAAGAGAGAGATGATGATCTACAATGGAAGACCTGGCACGAATGAGAAAGAAACTTACACGTGTCTAATCAGGATTGGATTCGAGAATCACGGTTTAAGGAAAAACAAACCGGAACAAATTAGGATTAACCGGAAACAAACCGGGTTACGATTCCCTCTGCTACTACTACACTCATCGAAGCTCACATAAAGAGCAGAGGAAAAGAGACGAGAACCAATCACCAGTCAGTCTCATGGCTTCAGCTTCTTTCTCTGCGATTTCTTCGCTCTCGTATCACTCTAGCAAATGTTTCTAGAAAAAGTCCATCACTCTTGCAATCTAAAACCAATGAATAAATCTCGTAAAGAAATGTGTAACAACAAGAGTCTTCTTCTTCTTCTTCTTCTCGATTATCCTCTGTTTTTTTCCTTCCAAACAGAACACGTGTTGTGTGTTTTTCTCCGCGCAAATGTTTTGTCACGGCATTTTGTGCTTGGACGAAGGATCATTCAGACCGAACAGCACTTTGAACAAGAACCGTCTACTACTCCTCTCAAACGTCACTCCTCAAAACAGTTTCTTCTTCAATGCTTCTCTAGGCCAACATCCAAACAGAGTCTATGCTCTACCTGGTACCGAAACAGAGAATTCCTCGCAGAGTCTGTGGTCTACCCAGCAGAAAACTATTTCTGCGTTAGTCTCGGTTTGAATCTAAGCATGGGATTAACGTTAGCTATTGCCACTGTGTTAGTCTCATGGTTTCTGCTGGGGGCTTAAAGGCGCAGCACTTGGTTGTTACAAGAATAGTTGCAAGAGTAGTTTTCATGGTGCGTGTGCAAAACTGATACCAGAATGCAGATGGGACAAATATGTAAGTGTTGCACAGCACAGATTATAGAAGAAGCTCTATTTGTAGGGTTCTTTCATAACCTCACACACAAGAAAGATACTTCAAAGTCTTGATAACAACAAGGAAGGAAAGACATAGATAGCGATCTTTGAAAGAAAAGCAAGCATGATGATTTTGATCAAATTCGTAAAAGTGGCAAGCGATCCTCAAGCTCCTCTTCTCTAGCTTTCTGGATTCTCTTGAGAACAGATCTAATCTGCATCTCCTTCATAAGCTCAGGTTTACCTCTCACAAAATAAGTATCTCCAAATTCCAAATGCCCAGATCCCTTAATCCTTTGGAATCCCTACCAACAAACATACAAAACCATAGATAGATATAGCGAGGAGAGAGGTAATTAATTAATCTTGCAAATACAAAAAGACTTACATGGAAATCAAGCTGGGAGAAAAAAGTTGAGTAATCGGGAGATAGTAATTGGAATGACGTCGAAAGAATTCTTCTGTGAAACTCTTACGGATTCCATATGATGAAACTACGGTTGCTTGTGCTCCACGAGATAATTGAATCCAATGAAGGATCATCAACAGCCTTGTATACACCCTCGTAGAATGCAGGAATCCAGATCGCGGCCTTATCGCTGTTCATCGCTCTATTTCACGAAGAATGAGGCAAACCAAGAAGGTGAAGCAAGGACGCCATCCGCTGGGATCTTCGTCTGTATTAACATGCACTATACGCCCTTGAACGTCCTTCTTACTGTTCAGCAAGCAAACAAGGGCATATATAAAGTTATTTATTAGCATAGAGCTTCCTACTTGCTCAGAGAGTCATCAGTCTTACATGTCAATGATGTCAGGCACTGAGAGTCTGGTTGCAAATGGAAGGATAGCAACTTCCAGAAACAACAGTTGCTTTGGGGCGTCCCTAAAAGCAAACTCAACACCTTCCTTGACCACACTAAAAATCTCCAATCTGTACTTGTTGCAAGCAGCCCCGATATACATTTCTGAGAGCCCACCTGCAAGCTCCCGGCACACTTGAAGACATTTATCTACCCTGGATTCTTCACGGCCACTAGAAAGTTCACTTGAATACCGGTGATAGGCCTGCCCAATTACATAGTGTCAACAATTTTCTTGGACTAGGAAACTTTGCATCTTCTGAAAATCTTTGCCAAAAGCTTACCCTTTTCAAGGATTCCAGATAGATATTAGAGATGTCATCTTCTTTTTTGCTTAAGCATGTAATAAGATTCTTTATGATGCCTGTTACACCAGGTCCATGCATACCAAGATGTGATATTATCTCTGGTCCTAGATAATCCTGCAACAGAAAAGAATCCATATAAAAAAATCGGTATGTGAGCATCAATCTATATAGGTGTCGCAGCAATGTAAAATGCACTAGGTAAGTACCTTTGGCACTACATCACTAGCAACCAACTTGCAGGCAGCAATGACTGCAACATCTCTGTTTGTCTCTTCAACGTATTCCGTATTTTCATCCTCCTCATCGGTCTCATCTGTGTCAAAGTCCGGCAGAAATAATACGTAATTTGGAAAATCAAGAAATGACAGGGGTTTGTGGAAAAGCAAAACAAAGAGTCACCTGAAGTGCTAAAAGTTTCTGCACAGAGTATCCAAAATTTCTCAAGAAAGACACTGTCGGGACAGTATCCTAATCTTTCAAGTTTACTCGAGTCATAATTTGACTTTCTAAACAAACACCATGTTTCGGCGAGTATAGCACAGATCTGCAGCTTGAAGATTTCACTTTTTAGGTGAAACGTGACTCATTCCTTGATAACACAAGCACATATAAGGAATGAAATGTGTAAGTTAAATTGGAATGTCAAATAGTCTTACCCTGAGCGATAGCTGATTACCATATTTCTTCGATTCCTCAATTCCATTCAGGAAGTACGAAAGCTCCTCAAACAGAGTATCACGCTTTGATATAAGGGAAGATAAGGAAGCTTCGGAGATAGCTTCACAATTTATGATGGAGTGCAGAGACCACGCCAAATACATGTACATATTCATAAGCAGGAAACAGATAACCTAAGCAACCATGAACAACTGTTCCATTAAGATGTGAGAGACACAAAAAAAAAAATAGTAAGAGCTTTAAACTAATTCCTTGAGCACCTCTTCGTCCAAATTTCTGAAATTGCGGAGCGTCAAAGCAATCCCATGGAACATGCTCTCAACAAGCACAGGCTTTAACAATTGAAGCTCATGCAACCTTTTCAGATTTACAAGGAGGGAGTATTCATCATTTCCATCCTGCACAGAAAACAGATGTAAACTTGCATCCCTAAGACAAGTATCAAGATAGATGGCAAAGGAAGTAAAGTGTACCTTGACTTCTCTAATTGCACAAGTGAGCTTATCTAAAAGCTCATCTTCAAGATCTTTAAGCTTCCCACGGGAAAAATCTTGAAGCTCCCCTTTACTTTCTGACGCACAAAATGTTATAGCCTTGACGCAAGATCTTAGTGCTTCTTTTTCCCCGTGTTTGAAAAAAGCATCAATTATGAGTCGGACGGCAGCCTTAAAACTCTGACACGGGGGACAAAATGTAACTTTCACTGAGAAAGGTGAATAACAAGAAGAAGAAAAAGGCATCCATCAAGAAACAAAATGATTTTAGTCACCTGCTCCTGTCTTTTAAGAGAATAGAGCTCAAGTTTCATAAACATAATAATCTCAACCAAAGACGACACTTTTGCTTTGTCAGCCATGAATTTACGTAGAAGCTGTGGATAATTCTTCATCATTGCCACCGTTAAGTCTTTCCTGTTGTTTTCAAACATTTCCTGTTATTCACAGCAATGAAACATCAAAGTCATTATCTTCATAACCGAAAGGGAAACAGAGTATAAACAGAGTACAGTGCCTTCTAAGATCATTTAAATGTATTTTGTCCTTCCTAGTTTCTTTCAAGAAAAAGAAAAAAAAAAGTAATGTATGTCTCATGCTTCTGCAACGTTATATCAACGTAACAACATGAAGACTCTCTCACAAAGAGAAAAGACAAAATCTTACTCGCTGAGCTTTAGTGTGATACTGCTTTCGATTATCCGTTGAAGGAATTGTCTTCTCCCCGACAGCCTTTCTGATTGACACAATCAGAAGTCTGATCAAGTTTGTCGAGTCCTCGTCAGTAGTAGACCCAGTTTGAGGATTCTGATCCAAAAGCATAGAGATGATACACTTCCAGTCCTGCAAGAAAAGCAGCATCATAACAATGATAAAATAAACTGCAGAAGGTACACGTCACAGCTATATAATGAACGTGGAACAGTAAATAGTAATTTCTCTTACACTCTACCTTCATGGCCTTCATGTACTCCCAAACACCATCAATTACATAAACACTTATAATCGTATCTGTGGAGAACTCCCGTAATATTTGTAACATTCTGAAGATATGGATCTCAGAGGAAAAATCACCAGGACCTGAAAAAGGATGTAATAACTCTGAACCAAGTTCTGTAAGTAAAAAACTCTAGTGCCCAGGACATGGACTATCTCAGAGTAAAACCTGTAAGACTGGACGGAGAAGTGTTAAACTTCTGTGTGATCAAGTGGTCATACACTAACTCTCCTATCGCACGTCTGATTTCTTGAGGTTGATCAATAAGCAAATCGTACAAAGGGCCTAGGTCATCATCAGGTATCAGCTGTTGTCTGCGCAACAAAAAAAAGCTCAAGTTTTAACTCATGGCATTTCAACACATTTGTGGTGAAGCTTTGGTTGAGAAAATTATTTTGAGGAGGAATACCTTAGCAGTTGCTTTACAAGCCCTATAGCACATACAGCTGCAGACATATCAACATCAACACCCATCTTGATCATTCGATTGGAAAATCTCTGAGTGAATAGACCAAGCGTGGGGACGTTTTCATCCGTTTCATAAAGTCTTCGCAATGCCAATAGAGAAGCTTTCCTCACTCCAGCATTCTTCGGATAATTCAATAAACAGACAAGAGCAGTGACTATTACCAACATATATTTGATAACATATGAGAGAGAGAAAAGGAGCTTACTTTGTCATTAAGCGTCCATCCAAGATATTTTAAGTACAGATCTTGTAAGAAAAGAGAAGGATAAGACAAAATCCAAATGCCGAGAGACTGAATGCATGACATCCGAATATCGTTATCAATATCTCGATATCGGTGTACAAACAACCTTCATAATAAGATGTAACAATGACTTGAGTCAGTAACACTCGCATAAAAAGAGTACCCATTTCTTTTTTCTTTTGAGTGGGTGTAATACTTAGCTGACAGTATAATCGTTATCCAATCTTACCCAGTGAAAATTTTTCGCATCATGCCCTCCAGTGTAGTTATCTGTTCATGAGTAACAGACAACCTTTTGTTGAGGGAGTCCACACGAGGCCCGTCAGCTCTCTTCTTGCTTTGAGCATTCAATTGTCTTTGGGTGGTTTGTCGCTGTGAACTGAGTGTGTTTGCAACAGAAATGAAAGATGTAACTAGTTGGAGGCCCATTAGCGTGGCAGTTTGACGGTAAAATCTAGGTCGAGTGCTGCAATAGAAAAAAAAAAGACAAACATAAATAGAATTCTATGAGGCATATAAGTTTGTAATGTTTGAATACAAACCATGACAGTGCGATTATGTAGTCCATGCACTTGTTGAACAAGAGTTTATCAAACAATGGCCCGTGTTGGCACTCGATAATCAGATAATTCCAGAACGAAACAAGATTTTCTTTGAAGTTGTTGAGTTCCTTGTTTCTCCAACTCTGATAATCTTCAACTTCCCCCTATAGGCCAACCAAAATGAAAAGAAAGTTTTGAAAATTTCTTAAGAAACAAAATGTAATCAAAAGAGAGCAATCAATTACGGCTTCATCACTATTAACAAAGGCAATGACAACATCATGGACATCAGTCTCATCAAGCAGATCTTCCTTGATGGAGTGTTTAGCACCGCAAGCCTACAAGACACAAAAGCTATCAAGAAGGAGGTACTCTCAGGAAATGGTGTGGTTCAATCAGCAATCCTCAGTGTGTGTATACATAAAGAAGTTAGGAGTACCTGAAAGAGCATTGACAAGAGCTCAGTGGTGGCAAGTCTGGGAGAGTGTTCATATCTTTCAACCCAAATCTTGACGGCTTTAGAAATAAGATCCCCGTTGCCTTTGACAACCTCTGTTGGCAAAAAAATGAAAAGGAACAAGATGAAGCTCTAACAAAACAATTAATCGATTAAGGAGACAGTACCAATGAGATTCTGTTGAGGAGGAGGATGGGTGCGACTACGCTTGGGCTTGGGACGGGTTTCCTGGAAATCGAGCTCTATCTGGTCGCTGCCGTCGTCCTGATCCCGAACTCTTCTCCTTTTCTTCACAAGGCCTTGAGGACTGTCTTCCATGGCGTTTGCAGACGAGCGAGAAAATTAACCTAGGGCTTCCACTACTGCTTTGGAGACTAACCTCTCCCGCCAATTTTCAGCTTTTTAATATTTCGATAATTAACAATTCTTTTGGCCAATTTGCCCCTGAACAAATTACTACTACTCAGTGAAAGTTGTAAATTAACCACCAAACTTGTATCAAATACATGACGAGTACACTAGATTTTTTCATTTGTCAACTAGTAAAACAGATTTTCTGGGATATAAAGGAACATCAAGAAAAAAAAAACAAAAATTAACAAGTACTATTGGCCATTGATTCGATGAGCCCTCGGGAACAGGCGACTACACTCAGCTAAGGCAGGAACGTCGGATGACACGTCCAGAAACTGAGCCACGAAGAGAAGCAGATGAAAATCTGACAACGGCAGCTCCGAATGTGTTTTCAGAGTCCGCATCGTTGCTCCGGTGTCCGTGTCCCCTGATAATGTTAAAACTAAAAACACAAGGAACGAATGAGAAAGAAGCTTACACGTGTCAAATCGGTATTGGATTCGAGAATCACGGTTTAAGGAAAAACAAACCGGGTTCTCGTTAGATTCATTTTAATCGAGTCCTCCTCGTTTTAGTCAAAAAGAAAGAAAAAAAAAGGATTTGTTTATGAAACTGCGAAGTGGCGAAGTTCAAGATGAGTTGCGACTCTTCTACTACACTCATCGAAGCTCACATAAAGAGAGGACAAGTAGAGACGAGAATCAATCACCAGTCTCATGGCTTCAGCTTCTTTCTCTGCCATTTCTTCGCTCTCGTATCACTTCCGCTCAAAAGAAGCGATCTTTTCATCGAAAGCTTCCTCTTTTAGTTCGACGGCTTTATCAGGAAGGAGAGTATTTGGTGGATCTATCAAAGCAGCTAATGTGACAAGCCATCAGAACCCTCGACGACGCTCTCAGAACGTCGAAGGAGATATATTCGTCGGTAAATAAAAGTCTGTTTATGTTTTAATCCTAATCGAAAACAAAGAGAGATCAATAACACCCTCTCTCTGTCTATCTTTCAAATGGATTTTTCACAGACAATACTTGTATTGATTGTGATACATGTCGTTGGATGGTTCCGGTAAGCTTTTTTTTCTTCCCTGTAAAGCTCCTAAATTTTTCTGCTTTTTCTCCTGTCTTGTGGACCCTTTTGGTGGTCCTATGAAATTGTCGAACAGTTCCATTGATTTAAGCATTTGGGTCTTTTCGTTCTTAGGCTTGATCTCGAAGAATTATATACTAAGTCTGGATTACATTAGAACAAGAATTTAGAATGTTCATGTTATAGTTATTTGTTAGCAGGCCAAAGCAGCTGTGAGAGCAGAAATTTACTTTCCCTCTACATTTGTTCAGCCAATTGATAAACAGCCTTTTTCTGATATATCTTCACAGGAATTATTCACTCGAGTGGACAACATGTCTGCGGTTACTAAACAACCAGCCTGTAAGGAGGAAAGACTGAATGCTCTTCAGGTGCCTTAACTACCTCGATTTTCTTTTTCATTCTATTTTATCTCTGATAATAGTTTATTCAGGATGTTTTTGTTTTGATAGCTTTTATGGGTACCTTTAGGTCCTTTTCTGTGGACATGTCTGCTATAATATCCTAGACTGAGAATTTCTTTAAGATAACAAAATTCCGTGTTTAGACGATTCTTTAACAAAATTCTGTGACGTTGTCCTGACTACTCATCGTTTCTTGATTCCTTCAGGCCTTATTATCTTGTCCGACGGGATCTATTCGCACTGAAACTCCACCTGCTGACATAGGGAAAGCTCAAGAGACCTTTCCACTTGCAGTGGACAAGGACACACTTCCTGTAGTTTCTCATCCCTTAAGCTTTCATTTTTTAGGATGGTTATTAACAAGTCAACTAACTCTGATTAGATAATTGTAAGCATACCTCGGAAATATTCTGAGATTTTGTCTATAGGTTTTGAACAGCTGTAGATAAAATGATCTTAAGTTCTTAACTGATTTGTACTACCCTGGTCTTATATGTTGTCTTCTGTTCGGCTTCTTGCTTTCCCTGGGGTTTATTAATTTTGAGATTTGCATTATGCTCAGGGAGTTTTTCATTGTGGGTTTCATTCCAAGAAATCCTACGGAGCAACTTCCTACTTGATCCTTCATCGTGAGGGAAATATACTTGTTGATAGGTATATGCCCTTGGGAGGCAGCATAGATTCTTATTTTCTTTGATGTTTAGTAGAATTGTTGATGCAATGTTTTTCTTGATATACTTCGTTATGGTAGTTAACTCGACACAACTGATATACCAACGTTTTGTTGTTTGCTGAAGTCCTAGGTACGTGGAGAAACTTGCTCGAAAGATTGAGATAATGGGTGGTGTTCGCTACATGTTTTTGACACACAGGTAGAGTTGATACCACCAAGAGGAGAAACTCCATGTTTTCTCTTATAATCTCTATAACAAGGGTTAGTAATTTCGTTGTTCAGGGATGATGTTGCAGATCACAAGAAATGGGCAGATCGATTCAAGTCTACCAGAATTCTGCATTCTGAAGATGTATGTCCTTGAATTTATCGCACCTCTCTTCTAAACTTTCTGCACATTCTTGATAGATTTTGTGAGAAAATGCTTGCTTACAGAGTTACAAGGACCTTGGGCTGATTATATGCTCTGTAGAAAATAGAAAAAAGTTCTGAGGTTGGATAAAAGTAAAAAGGAAACCAGCTAGGAAAACAATTTTGTTACTAAATCCAGCTTTTGTTAGGTTGAACCTTCGACCTCTGATGTGGAGTTAAAGCTGGAAGGAAGTGGACCATGGAGTATTTATGAAGATGTCGAGCTTATACACACTCCCGGTCATTCAGAAGTAAGTTTGTGCAACTATAAGAACATATATATATGAAAAATAAATATTCTTTTTTTGTTAAAAAAAGAATTTCATTATGATCTTGGGATAAGAGCTTTGTATAAATTTGCAGGGATCAGTGTGCCTATTCCATAAGTCCCTCAAGGCATTATTCACTGGAGACCATGTAATAATGACCGAATCTGGATTGAGCATTTTAGAGCAGTACAATCACGGTTCAGGTGAAGACTTTCTGTTGAATGTTTTTGGATTAATATTTTTGAATATTCATTCAAGAACATAGAAAGACTGATCTAAATGTTTTTTGTGTCTCTGGCAGTGCCTCTCCAGCTCGAGAACGTAGAAAAATTGATCAACCTGGATTTCGTTTGGCTATTACCGGGTTAGTGCACTTTTGCTATATGCCTAATCTGTTTTACTCAACGGAGATTTTGGATTTTGATGGCGATTTTGTATATCAGGACATGGAAGAAGAGTACACTTCAAAGATGGTGAAGAGAAGGCGAAGAATCTGGAAGCACTTGTTCAGAAGCACAGAGAGAAACAACTTGTTTCCTTTAGCAAATCCGGGAAAGCTTAAGAAGACAAACTTTGTATTCTGATTCTAAACCGGTGAGCCAAACTAAACCACCAGACTGAATGTCTCTTCGGTCTGACTGGTCTGTGTGTCAGTTAGTTCCCACGCGAGTGATGTATTTCTATGTAACATTGTAAACCTACTTAAACGCATATTAAATTGAAACGAAGATCGTGAGTAAAAAGCTTTGTAAGTCTACTCTTTCCTTATGCAGCTGTTTAGTTACACTATTGTACTGTCAGCTAAAGTGTGTGCTTTTTTTTTTTTTCGTTTTGATATATTAGATCAACCTCACATCTCTCCAGTATATTCAGAACATTTGACTTGGAAAATTCCCTTCCAAAATAAAATCTTAAAACACATATCAACTAATAGTGGTCCTGTGGGTGGCAAGATTTATGGGGATCATGGTTCGAACCTTTTCACTACGATTTTTTTTCCATGTTTAACTACTTCGAATGTCTTTTTTTTGAAGAAAACTACTTCGAATGTCTTAAATAGCGAAAATATCTGATTTTTTCACAAGCTAGCATCGGATGCATTATGCATATATATGATTTTTCACAAGCATCGGATGCATAGTTGTTTATTTAATAAAATGTAAATCTCATACTATATAGTAGTAAAAGTTATTTAACATATATATATATATATATATTCGTTTTGGTACCATTGCTACAATAATCATATATTCAGAAAAAATCAGAAAACATCACATATTCACAATTTCACATACATTGGAACGTAAGAAAGTACATGTAAAAAGAAAATGCACTAATAATTATTCACAAACTTAGTTATAGATTAGCGATCGAAAATTAATGACACCAAATTTAACTTTTTAATTAAGAACATCTTTTAATTAACGACGTTCATTCGGAGACAAAAAGGATTTCATCAAAAATCAGTAGTCACTAAACTATTTTTCAACCACTCCACTAAACAAGTGGAACCTCGTTCAAAAACTGCCACGAAACATTCCCACCAACAAAGATAACAAATAATATAGAGCACTCCTTCCTTTTGTGCTTCCCACTACAAACCCAACAATTAAAATTGTTACAATTACTAAGCATCGCATTAACGTTATGCTATATATACAAATCCCTCGTCTGACCAAATATTCGCATCATAGATTTCATTACAAATTAACAAACCATACTGACAAAGAAAAATAAAAGAAATGGGGAATGGCATGATAAGGACATTGGTTATTCTAGCAATAGCTTTATTCATGATCAGTTCCGACAATGTCCACGTGGCAATAGCTCAGGTCTGCGGAGCTAACTTGTCGGGACTGATGAATGAATGTCAACGCTACGTCAACAACGCCGGGCCAGATTCTCCGCCGCCGTCTCGGTCTTGTTGTGCTCTAATCCGTCCCATTGACGTACCTTGTGCTTGCCGCTACGTTTCAAGGGATGTTACGAATTACATTGATATGGACAAAGTGGTTTACGTTGCTCGTTCTTGCGGCAAGAAGATTCCCTCCGGTTATAAATGTGGAAGTAAGTACCTTTCTTAGTTTTCGTATTTTAATTTCGTAATTGTTAAGCATATATATGTCATAATTTGGATTTGAATCTATTATAGGTTACACCATTCCGGCGGCTTAAAAAGGAAGGAGACCAACAGAATTTAAATTTGCTATAAAAATTAATAAAACGTATTAGTATCTGAATAATGATGATGATGTTATCAAGATTTTAGGTCTTGTAATATAAGCAAACTGGGATTAATGGTCAGAAGATATAATGAGACTTGTAATATGTTTATGTTTTTTTATTTGGAACACCTAAAAAAACATCTGAACTAGCAAGCACTCATTATACTGCCCTGCCCGGCTGCCCCCATGTCTCGATCAATCAAACATCTGCACTCATTTTACTTTAATTTAAGACCAAAAAAAAAGAAAGATTAAATAAACTAATGCGAAAATGAAACCCACGTACATTGTTCCTAGGATAATAACAAAACCACGAGCTTCAAGATTTCCTGTGGCTTCTTTAGCCTCTTGTTTTCATTATGTAAGTACCACTTTCTCGACTCCACCCTTTATAAACCTAATCCTCCGATCCACGCAACTCCAAACACATTGTCCAAAGATCAATACACACTGTTTTAAGAGAATTAGAAAAGAAAAAAGAAGATGAACGCCGGAAAGCAAGCTTCGTGGGCGGTGGCGACGGCGATTGCAGCCGTGGAAGTACTAAAGGACCAAGGCGTTGCTCGATGGAACTACCCTCTCCGCTTACTCCACAAAGAAGCCATGGCTCGCGTCCCTACCATCACAGTCCCATCTCGTCACTCTCCTCCTACGTCTTCAGATTCGGCTGATTTCATCAGATCCAAACCCCTGACGACTACACCCTTTGAGAAATCCTTTGAGAAAGCTATGGGTCTTAGCTGCTTTGGTCCCACCACCGTTAGATTCTAGATCTCTATGTACTCTGTTGAACGCAAATCAGAATGTGCACTAGGTCCACCAAATGTTGTACTTGGAACCATTATTCTAACATTTATTTAGCTTAAACATTTTTTCCAATTTTGAAATAAATTTGGTTTTATATAGAAATAACTAAATCACACCAGAGCTAGCTAGTGTGTAAGCCGGTTTATATTATACAACAAAAGAATCTTGATTTGATAATATTCACATCACCGACAGATAGACACTTGCGAGTCACAATTAGTCTTAACTCTTAAGGTGCAAATGAGTCTAGATAATGCATGAAACATTGTGGAATGAAGCATTCATCCAACATTCCAATGTTAAGTATTATACCATTTTCGCAAATTCTGACAAAAAATACAGAAAAATATACAAAAAATAGAAAATTCCAAAAACTTCAGAAACCACCAAAAACTGCAACACAAATCTAACCATTTTTAAAGAAAAATATCCTTCTACGATTATGGTAATTGGTAAGGAATGAGTAGAGAAAATTTCTTTATTTTTTATTCCATCCAATATTTTCATGTTTACCAATTAGATCAAAGAAGAAATTAGTCAGCATCATACTGCAAATGAATTGTCGACGAGGAAGAGTATGACCATCCGTACCGGAGGATGAAATAAATAGGAAACCAAAAGCTTCGGTAGAACGCAAAGAAAGATGAAAATTTTTAACAAAAAAAAAAAATGTTCAGTCGAAAGATATTGAAACAATTTCAGATTTTCATTGCTATGATACCATTTTACCAAACCATAATTATTTGATTTATGAAAATAAATTTCATTATGTAGAATATTTTGTACTTGATCTGGTTTATACTATACCGATTCATAAAGAATTTAGACACGAACAAGTCCATACATATTCACATCAAAGAATCAGATACGCCAGTACAACGACGACTATTCCGTGGAAGCAGTTTGTTGCGTGATGGGACAAGCTGAGAATACGCCCACAGATATCGCTATTGCTCACTTGAACCATTTTGGTCAAAAACACTTTGCCAACTTTTTAATAAAGATTGATACAACTTAACATTAAAACCACCAAATAAAACTTGTTGATAAAGATAAGCCTCATTGTACCACAACCACACACTAAGCCAATAAGTCATCAACTACTAACTCATTTAAACCTAATCAATACAATTTAATATTAGACCGACTACGTGAGGGTGCATATGCTTCTTTTTACCAAAACATATTCAAGTGAAATATTTATAATCAGCTTATACTCTAAAATATTGTAACATTGAAAAAATCAATTATCTTGGTGCATTAAGATGATAGATACCGTAAACCTACTTTTGTTGACCAAACTTGATTCTAAAGAAAGAAAGCAAAAGAGAGAACAAAAACGAAGACAACTCTCATCTTCTTTTCTCTCTGTTTTTTCATCTCCCTCTCTCTCTTCTAGAGCTTGTTGATTGATGATCTCGAAGCAAGAATCATGAGATTCCTTCACAGATTTCTGTTGGAGGATATGTCCAACGAAACCTTATCGGACTCGGTCTGTAAATTTAATTGCCTCCAAGAGTTGAAAAGTAAAGGATATTGTCCATCCTATTGTCTTGACGAGTGTCCTTCAATCTGCGAGATCGTCGTAGTTACAGGTTTTTCTCCACCTCCAGTGATCCACCACGACGACAACTTAAAGAGGATCTTGATCATCTCTGCTTCATCTATCATCACAACTCTGTTTCTCCTTACTTTACTTGTTCTCTGCTTCAAGTTTTACTATAGGAGGAGAAGATTAGAATTAGCAATATCAAGAAGATGGAGCATGGATGAGGCTAGGAATTGGGACTTGGATGGACCAGCACCGGTTATCGTCGATCATCCGATTTGGCATATCAGAACCATAGGGTTGAATCCAACGGTTATAAGTTCGATCAAAGTTTGCCAGTATAGTAAAAAAGATGGTGTTGTGGAAGGAACAGATTGTTCGGTTTGTTTAAGCGAATTCGAAGAAGAAGAGACGCTTAGATTGTTACCAAAGTGTAAACATGCTTTTCATCTTTCTTGTATTGATACTTGGCTTAGATCACACACCAATTGTCCGCTTTGTCGTGCTCCTATAGTCGTGGCCAACACGATGATTGATGACCATAGTGAGGGTCTAGAGGAGATCCGCGTGAGTATTCCAGAAGAAATCGATGGAGATAATATCGATGAAGAAATCGAGGAAGAAAGAGATGGGTTTGTTAGTAATATTAGTAGAGAACATGGTGAGTCGCAGCAGCGAGTGAGACGATCAGTGTCGTTGGGCTCGTTATCAGGATTAAGGGCAAGTGAAGTTGTTGTGGGTAGAGAAAAGGAGAAGTTGAAGAGAGGCAATAACATTGGATCTGGGAGGTCAAGTTTCTTGAAGAGATCTATCTCTTACAGTGGAAAGTAGTACTAGCTTCATTGCTATGAGTAAAACAAGTCCATTAAGTAAGTAAGAAAATCAAATCAAAGCCAAAAAGATAGATTGTATTTATATGTATGAAGGTGATATAAGATTTTGTTTATCAAAGCTGCCACTCTTGTAAAGTTGAAAAAGAGAGTTTTTGACAGCTTATACTCTGCTTTTGGATTAAGTTGGTAAGTATAAATATACACCAAGCGCTTCATTTTGTATGTTACTTGTTTATTGTTCTTGAAACACCATCTGGTTTCTAGTTAAACTCAGATTCAACTGTGTCTTCTGTTATGTGAATGGATTTACATTTTAGCGTGTTGTTTAGCTATATACTAATCAGTTTAATTGGAAACGCTGCGTTTCATTAAAAGAAGGAAAATTGACAAAAAGAACTCTTCGTCTTATCGATTATTGTCTTGTTCCTCTTTTTCTTCAACAAGAAGAGAACACTTCTACTTCCCAGAGAATTCACCTATATGTCTTTCTTCAAGGAGAAGTCTTCCTCTTTCCCGATTTAGGTTAGATTCATGTTATAACTTTTTTCTCCGATTTCCGAATTTGAATTTGAGTTTGATTAACGATTTAGTTTTAGTGTCGGTGTAGAACTGAATGATAATGATGGTTTGATTGAGGTCGATTTGGTGTATACAATAGAAGTTCTCACATTCTCGTGTAATTTGAAGGGTCGAGTCGTCGCAGGTTTATGTTTATCTTCGAAATTAGGGTTTGTTATATGAAATTGGGGGTTATTTAGTCTGCTTACAAATCATGCTGTTTTCATTCTCCTGAAATTAACTTCACGCTGTTTTTCACATAAAACACACAAACGGTAATTAACAAAACTGTTAAGATGGACGGAACATAAGATGAGGTTTCTTTCCTTTTTTAGTTAAGGTGAGATTTGTTTTGGATTTTCTTATGTATTTGTACATTAAAGTTTATCAAATCAATCTTGGTTTATGCATTGGCAAAAATACTAAATAAAAGTACAGTTTAGAAAGTAAAATCACATGTTAAGTTTTGATCTTAAACTCTTTTTGATGTTTTTGTTGTTGTATGCTCTATGCCTATAAACAAATTACTAGTGAATTACCATTTACTTATTAAAATTATGAATCTTTGACCAATAGCAAATTTCCATAAAATCAATCAAAGAGTTTTTGCATTAGTTAGCTTCTCATGAAGAGAACAATTTGGTTTAGGGAAAAGAATTTGTGGGGTGGGGTCCAAAACTGACACGACACAAAAACTTTGGTTTCTCCGTCTTTGTTGGAGAAATGCATTCACATCCACTTCTTACCAAAAATAAATATTTAATTTTTAAAAGGCCTTCTTGTTTTTTCAGATGAACACTCTTCAGATGCCTTGTGCCTTATTGATCCAGATTCGAAATACCCAACTTTACTCTCTAGAGCTCTTTCATGGCAGCTACTCCCACTCACTTCTCTGTCTCCCATGATCCTTTTTCTTCCACGTCTCTCCTTAATCTGCAAACTCAAGCTGTATGTTGTCAATCCTTCTCCCTCCATCTCACACTGTTTCATCCAATTCTGACTATTGGTTTTCTTAACTCTGTTGCATTTTTTTTATTTCAGATCTTTGGTCCCAAGCACAGTTTAAAGAAAACCCAGTTGAGAATTCCAGCTTCTTTCAGGTAATTTCTTGGCTTTATTATCTTTTCAGTTTGGATTGGGATAATGATCCGTAATTTTGATCTGGGATTGCTGCTCCATCTGATTTTCATTTAGTCTTGATAATATAGTAAGAATCTAAGAGAAATCACATGGTGATGCATTGTACTTTGTTGGGGACCCCTTTCGTTAGTACAGCTTTTGTTATAGTTTCTTAGGTTCTATAAGTAGTGTGTCTTTTATAAGATTTGAAAAGGAGAGTCTTTTTTTTGTGATGCTTCAAGTGGCAAAATCTCAGTGGAGATGTTTTATAATATTCAAATGTTGTGGTTTTTGCAGAAGAAAAGATTTAAACTTGCAAGTGATGGCTTCAGGAAAGACACCTGGACTGACTCAGGAAGCTAATGGGGTTGCAATTAATAGACAAAATGACAATGATGTATTTGACGACATGAAACAGCGGTTCCTCGCCTTCAAGAAGCATAAGTACATGTAAGTAGCAGAACCACTTTCTTCAGTCTTTTGCTTTTTCAATGGTTTATATATTACTTTTTGCCTTTCTGTTTCTCCTCACCTGATGATATACTCTTGAGCAGGGATAACTTAGAACACTACAAAAATTTGGCAGATGCTCAAGCTCCAAAGGTACCTTTACAATTTACAAATGCTTATTATTGTTCACGGAAGGCTTGAGATATTTTCTGTGGTTTAAATTTTGTCTGGAGAAAGGAATTGTTGCTAACAGTGTAAGCAACAGTTTCTGGTGATCGCTTGTGCAGACTCTAGGGTTTGTCCTTCTGCTGTCCTGGGATTCCAACCGGGTGACGCATTCACTGTTCGTAACATTGCAAATTTAGTACCTTCATATGAGGTATAAAAGTAGTGCAGACTACCATTTTGGTTTTATGGCCTGGTTCACATTTTGACATTTTTGAATTTGCCTGTTGCGTGAAGTCTGGACCTACTGAAACCAAAGCTGCTCTAGAGTTCTCTGTGAATACTCTTAATGTAAGCCTCTATCTTATCTCTGACAGTGTTTCAAGTTTTAAATAGAGGATTTTCACAGTTCAGGGTTCGGTTTCGTTCATGAAATTAGCTTTCTACAGAGTTTGTTCTTTTCACTTAAACTCAAATCTCAAGGCAACATAAACAGCGTAGACACAATGTGTAGATACATTCGTTTATAATTCTTGTCTCATTGATAAAATTGCAGGTGGAAAACATCTTAGTCATTGGTCATAGCCGCTGTGGAGGAATTCAAGCTTTAATGAAAATGGAAGACGAAGTCGATTCCAGGTTTTTATCAGTTCTTGATTCAGTCTATCGAACAAATCCATTAATTGTTGTTGAACTTTGCCATATCGTATTTGCCTGTTAACAGAAGTTTCATACAAAACTGGGTAGTTGTGGGGAAGAAGGCAAAAGAAAGCACAAAAGCTGTTGCTTCAAACCTCCATTTTGATCACCAGTGCCAACATTGTGAAAAGGTGAAGTCTTTTTGTAAATCAGTGGAACTTCTTCATATCTTCCATAATTAATCTGTGAACTTATATCTAATATAAAACCTGCAGGCGTCGATAAATCATTCATTAGAAAGGCTGCTTGGTTACCCGTGGATAGAAGAGAAAGTGCGGCAAGGGTCACTGTCTCTCCATGGCGGGTACTATAATTTTGTTGATTGTACATTCGAGAAATGGACAGTGGATTATGCAGCAAGCAGAGGTAAGAAGAAGGAAGGCAGTGGAATCGCTGTTAAAGACCGGTCAGTTTGGTCTTGACTTACGACTATCTCAATCTTCATAGTTTTTTTTTTTTTTTTTTTTTTTGCATAATTTATAGAGAAAAATCAAACCCCTTGAGGTGGGATTATCATGTGTTTGTTCCACTTGTGTGTGAAGTCATTTTCTTCTTCTGTCTTATTAGGCTAAAACTTGGGAGACCCCTTCAGGGACTTATGTTTGTTTTATCTTCCATTTGTTTCGTTTAAATTCCACATTTGTGCAATGAACTGATTAGTTTTTCATTAAGATATAATCATTTTGCCACCGTAGTTTATGATTTGGGTTGTTAGATTGATTTGATCGACTTTGCAATAGTATTATCAATCGGTTACATTCACTTATTAATTATTATAGATAAGTTGCAAGTTAAAAAACTGAGTAATGTTACAGTCAATACTCATCAATCCTACAGCCAGCAATATATAGCCAGTTAGCTTATGTTGATGATAATCTTCACATATGCCAATGAGTTTGGTTTCAATAATTGAAACAAAGAGTTTAAGTTTGGAGGAGACAACTCAAGGGATGGAAGTCGGAGTTGCAGGGAGAGAGGGGGGAGTAGAGAGGGGCGGAGCGGGCGATCCAGGCATTGTGGGTTTCGGAAATTGAGGGAAAGGAGATGGGAATGGGAATTTTGGAAAACCTTGCCCCGGAAACTGAGGAAAACCGGGTGTAGGATTGCTCGGAAAACCGGGTCTCGGAAATTGAGGGAACGGCATAGGATTAGTTGGAAAACTGGGTCTTGGAAACTGAGGAAAACTGGGTACTGTTGGATTGCTTGGAAAGCCGGGTCTTGGAAATTGAGGGAAATGGGGTCTAAAAAATTTCGGTTTTAACTTTTGTTTCTCCGTAAATTGTTGTGCGGCGCGGCTTGAAGTGATCATGGAGGGGAACATCAGAGCTATGAGGAGAGAAGCGACGAAGAAGATTTTAGATGAAGCCATAGTGTTAATAAAAGAGCTCTTCAATTAGTTGATGTGTGTTTTTATTTGATGATTTCTTTCTCTGATGGATTTGAGTTATATAGGAGGAAACTCAATAGAGATAACGAGTACAAATTTGCATATCATTTGACTGAATTTTCTTTTTATAGATTTACCCAATGGTTTCATTATTAAGAATAGGAAACAGTTGATATGGTTGCCGTTTTGTTGCTATTAGTTTGAATATGTGTATGTTTGTTGTATCAACAAAACATATCCATAAGATTTAGAACTGACCATGCCTCATCAAATTGTCAGATGGATATAATGTAGACTTCACATTGAATATCAACTACATACATCTAACGAACTATTACCGTGGTTGCACTCTGCTAGCTCTTTCATCTCTCTTATGCTAAACTTACGCAAAACTCTTCTTGCCCACTCACCAAAATAAGTCTCATTGTATCCGATCTTAGCGTTCTTATAGATCGACATACATCGCCTATCCGTATAGGGGAATTGACATATTTCGCCCACCGGGTCATGCCAAGAGCCTTCATGTCTCATCCCTGACCAATTAGCTCCCCATTGGAATACAAGCTGGCCAACTCCTGCAAGCTTAAGCCATCCTTTGGGGAAAAACTCCATTACACTACTATTTTTATCCATTAGAAACAAGTTAGTGAGTTGTGCACCGTGTGGTGATACTAACACATCGGTCTTCTTCATTAGCTCCACTTGCTCACAAAATGTTAGATTATTCGAATATGAAACATTAAGTTCACACCCATCTACTCTCTTACACTCTCTCTTAAATACATCAATCACCACTGACTCATTTCTGAAAGATCTGGCTCCAGTTCTCAATAGCAATGTCATACCGATTCTCGGTTTGGATGTCTCCGATGAGCTGATATTACAGTAGTTCCTCGCTTTGCATCTAATGAGATCAAAAACCTCTATTCTTCTCTCCCTTGACATTCCACCTTCATTGTGTCTCATAACAACCGCCTTCTCGAAACAGACCGGCTTATCCTGATCAACAAACTGTAAAAAGTCTGGTGCTTGACCGTAAATCGATGTGATTATCTCGCTCAACCAGTGCCCCATCCCGAACCTTAGTTCTCCCCAGTGGTATAAAACCCATTTTTGAGGCTTTTCGCATTGGTTTCTTAAGCTCCAAGCAACAAATGGGACTGCTGCCGTTAGTCCATGCCACAAGTTACCATAATCATATTGATTGTAAGAAACAAACGTCAAGCCCTCCTGAAGAATGGCATTGGTTGGAAGAGCTTCAGGCCAAGCCAGGACGTAGTAGTTCCATGACCCATCATGCTCATCAACCCCTTTCAAGCACAAAAGCCTTCCTTTCGAAGAATCTGAAGGAAATTCTTGATACTGCGCCTCACCTTTGGTTTGGTTATCATAGAGAGAGCTCATGAACCAAGTATGACCTTCAAGTGGTTTGTTCGAAAAACGATAGTCTTTGAGTGGAAGGAATGTCACCGATTCACGTAGCTTCTCCACCAAGGAAGCCGTCTTGTTCTCGGATAATTGTTCAGGTCGGTGTCTCAGATACGTCAAGAGTGCCGGAGGGAGTGAAAGAGAACGTTGAGTAATTTGAAATGAACAGAGTTGGAGAAGAACAAAACCAGTGACAACGAGGCACAAGACGTTCAAGTAGAACTTAAGGGAGGATAAGCAAGTAACTAGCCTTCGCCAAGCACTAGCTTTAGTTGTCATTATGAATCAAATAGAGTGAAGCAGAATCAGTTTAGTTTGATGGAATATGTGAATTAAACTTGTGAGGAACATATATGGTCAACGGCTAATAGTCATGGAAGATTTGGAATTAACCAACACATGCTTTCCGTTTTTCTCTCCTAGTTTTACAATTTTTTATTGCATGCATTACATTCTACAAGAAGTTTTCTATGCTAATCTCAAAGATAAGTTCGCTACTCTGACTTAGATTAGATGCATACCATAGTCTACTCAAATTATTTATATAATTTAAGCCACTAGTCTTTGTTTTAGTTCATGTGTTAAGAGTCATTGATCATGTTTGTCGATTTCCGTGCTAGATCTTTTAGTACTGCCGAATATTTTTTGGATCTAGAATTACAAATCTAAAGATTCAAGAGAATTTTTTTATTTTTTTCATAGTTTTTACTTTACATCTAGCTTTTTCTTTATTGAAAATCGGTTGGCTATAAACTCTGTTATTTCGTTATATTAAAAAGTACAGAGTATTATTTGGCTATTTTGGTTGCCTACACTTCCATCAACACCAACATCCATCTAGCGAACCATAACTGTGGTTGCGTCCTAGAACATTTTCCATCTTTTTTTCTCTTAACTTACCCAAAACACTTTTCGCCCACTCGCCAAAATAAGTCTCATTGTATCCGATCCTACCGTTCTTATAGACCGACATACATCGCCTATCAGTATCGGGAAACTGACATATTTCCCCATCTGGATCATGCCACGAGCCTTCGTGTCGCATTCCTGACCAACTAGCTCCCCATTGGTACACAAGCTGACCAACTCCTGCAAGCTTACGCCATCCTTTAGGGAGAAATTCCATCACGCTACTATTTCTATCCATTAGAACCAAGTTAGTAAGCTGTGCACCATGTGGTGATACTAAAACATCAGTCATTTTCATCAGCTCCACTTGCTCACAAAATGTTAGATTATTTGAATAAGAAACCTTCAATTCACACCCTTCAACTCTTTTACACTCCCTCTTAAAGACATCAATCACGGCTGACTCATTCTTGAACGATCTTGGTCCGGTTCTCATTAGCAATGTCATACCTATTCGCGATTCTGATGTCTGGGACAAGCTTATGTTACAGTATTTTCTCGCTTTGCATCTAATGAGATCAAAGGCTTCCATTCTTCTCTCCCTTGACATACCACCTTCATTGTGTCTCATAACGACTGCCTTGTGGAAGCACACGGGCTTGTTCTCATCAACAAACCGTAAAAATTTGGTGTTCTGACCGTAAGTAGCTGTTATTATCTCACTCAACCAGTTCCCCATCTTGAACCTGAGTTCTCCCCAATGGTATAAAACCCACCTTTGAGGACTTTCGCATTGGTTTCTTAAGCTCCAAGCAACAAACGGGACCATGGCGGATAGTCCATGCCACATGTTACCGTAACTGTAATGATTATAGGAAACAAATGTCAATCCCTCCTGGAGACTGGCATTGACCGGAAGAGCTTGAGGCCAAGCCAGTGCATAGTAGTTCCATGACCCATCATGCTCATCAACCCCTTTCAAACACAAAAGCCTTCCTTTTGAAGATTCTGAAGGAAATTCTTGATATTGAACTTCACCTTTTGTTTGGTTATCGTAGAGAGAGCTCATAAACCAAGTATGACCTTCGAGTGGTTTGTTTGAAAAACGAAGGTCTTTCAGAGGAAGGAATGTTACCGACTCACGTAGTTTCTCCACCAAGTAAGCCGTCTCGTTCTCAGATATTATTTGTTCAGGTTCTTGTTGTTGTTCTTTCAGATATGTGAATAGTGAAGGAGGAAGTAAAATGGGCTGTTGGGTAATGTGAAATGACCAGATTTGAAGAAGAACAAAAACTGTGACGACAAGACACAAGACGTTCAAGGAGAACTTAGGGGAGGCTAAGCAAGTAACTAGCCTCATTGAAACGCTGCGTTTAGTCATGTTTTGAATGGGGAGAGTGAATGAATGTGAAGAAATGAAAGAGAATCGTTTTTATCAGATGAAATGGGTGAAATGAAACCCGTGAGGAAAAATAAAGGTGACTTTATTTGCCAAAGATGTTGATGCATTGCATGTTTGAAAAATGAACGTTATCAAATCTGCCCCCACATTTGTGGCAGTTTTAGCATCGAGTCATCGACCAACACATGCTTCTTGTTTTCTTTTCTACAAGATTAGAAAGCATTTCTAAATTTGTTCACAAAGTTCGTAGATATATTAGACCAAAAAATATTAATAGATGAATATTTTTAAAAGAAAGATATAGAGCAAGATTACTTATTTTGATTAATTGACAGCCAGAAAATGTTCATATAAACTGACAGATTTTAAATTACTGTTTTACTGCAAACCATGCACTTATACCAACTTAGCTTATACGTATACATATATCACAAACGTCACCAATTTTGTTTTATATTACTATGAGTAATTAAAGAACCAAGAAAGCACTTTCAAAAACCACAAACAAATGTAAAATACAACATATTGATAATCAAAGGGAAATTAAAGGTACAAATCATCAACCAGGGGTATACGTAATTAACCAAACAAAAACACACCACAATGAAACAATTCATTACAACAATCTTATAATAAATGATACATCACCAATTACATGAAAGTGATAATTCAAGGACTCGATGTAGCTGCAGAAGGCGGGGGAGAGAAGAACGGAATGGATGGGAGACTAGTCGGAAGAGAAGGAATGGACGGGAGATTAGTCGGAAGGGAAGGAATTGTTGTCGGAAATGAAGGCAAAGTTGGCACTGGAGGCATTCCAGTGGGAATTGTTGGAAGATTTGGTTGTGGCAAAGCTGATGGCAATGGAAATGGAGACATTGCAGTGGGCATTGTGGGAAGAGTTGGTAAAGATGGTTGTGGCAACGTTGATGGCAATGGAGGTAGTCCCATTGTTGGGATTGGCAGATTTGGAATTTGTTGGAGAAGGCGGCGTGATGCTGAGCATGTGTTGATCATCATAGAGGAAGAGAGGCTCACTAAGAAAGCAATGAGAAAGAGCTTGTATGATGCCATTGATCTGGGTGTGTTGATGAATCTCTAATTATGTTTAAGCCTCTCTAATTGCTTCACTTGTATTGCTTGTTTTTGATGAGAAATTCAAAGATATGTGATTGAGTTTATATAGTGGCAAGAGTCTTTATGGATTACAAAGACTTTGCATACAATATCTTATATGGTTTTTGTTAGGTGTACTTTATGGTTGGCTTGAGCTTTTGTTAGTTCAACTTAATGTCTTTTTTTAGATTATTTTGAAAATTTAAGGAATTTTATTAAAGTTAGTTCAACAATCAAAACCCTCTAACTCTAATACACATTTGACCTATATAAGACAATAACCAAACTTTTAAATATTATTTAAAGCTTACAAAATGCACAATTATTACACATACATTACCAATTACTAATTTACTAGGGTAAAATATTTACAAAATCTTAATATTTATAAAAGATAGACCAAATCTAATTATATAAAATATGAAATACAAAATAATCTCCAAAACATCAAATAAAACAAAAAAAAAAAAAAACCCTAATTTCCCCCAGCGAAATCAAACCGGATAGGGAAACAGTTTGCAAAAAAGTCGAACCGGATAGACCAACAATTAATGATTTAACGGATCTGATCGGTTGAACCGGATAGACAAACAATTGAATTTTGAAAATTTGTGGTCATTTCCGAAAAGTCAACCTAACCAGACAGAATCGAAACCAAATTCAAAATTCCATCTCTTTGGTGCAGAATACGCTTCGAACCTTCTCGAACCCGTCGGAACTGTAACTAAGTATAATTCTGGCGCCGATGAGTCTCCGCTCAGTTCAATCTCGCAGTAAGCGGAAGCCGCTTGCAGTATTCGATTACACTGACGAGGAAGAACGTATTGAAAAGGTGTCGAAGAAACTCCTTCGCAAATTCGATTCCCCAGTTACTGAAAAAACCTCATGCGCCATCGATAAGTATGACTTCCTTCGATGTTGTGAGTGTTTCTTCTCTGAATTTCCCGTTGAATTTTTGTATCGATTTGTTTTTGGCTGTGTCCTTTGGATGATCAAGGTGGTCTTTTACTCATGAAACTTGTTTTGTTGAATTTGCGTTTGTTCTTTGATGCAAGAGTTATTCACTTGTGTGTGATGTATCTCAACTATACTGGAGTGATTATGATGTTTTCTTAGAGATAGAACATCAAGTTTTACATGGTATCACAAGAGAAGGAAGATCTGATTTCTGTGTAATACCTTTCTATTGCAGTTGCGCAGAAAACCCAAGGCGAGAGTAAAGAAGTGGACCACATCGTTATTGATGCTGAAGGTAAAAGTAAGAAAACTATATGTTGGAGGACAGTTCTCAACTACATATGATGAAATTGTTCTTGGAAAAAGTGTAGAGTTTCAAATCTTCAGATGCTAGTGTGGTAGATCAGCAATGACTTAATTTCTATTTTAATCCTTTGAATATGTTTTCAGAAAGTGTCTATAAAGAAGGGAATTGTGGCTATATGAGTTACTGCTGAAGTTCGATTTTAGCGATCTCCATTTCCTTGATCTTTTTTTTTTCTGTTTTTCATCTAGTTTGGCTAAACTAATTTTGGTTTATGCAGTCCCAGCAAAAGAAGAACCGTCAAGGTGTGAACTCAGCGGAGATGGCACTGTGAGTTTTCTCATGCAGTCATGAAGGAGTTATTATAAGGAATAAGAATGTCTAGAAATTTTCTAATTTTTGTTGTACAATATATTGCAGATTGACCTGATTGACGTAATCTCCAAAGGCTCCCATGGAAGCATTGGAGTCGATTCATCAACTTCATCATCTCTGTCGGAAAATGATGAAGGTTTTTAGCAATTTAGTATTCTTTATCTTTAGTTTGAGTTATTTTTTCTGTTTCTTGCCTCATAATTGCTTGCTCTAAAGAAACTTCTGAATTATTTTAGCTTCAACTGGAGAAGCCACAAATCCTGCTCCTGATCCACATGAAGTTGTAAGTCTTTTCGACTATATGCTGTTCTTTTAATTTGAGATTGTTAAGGATCACAAAAAAAAGATGAAAAGCGTAAGCTCTACTTCCTCTGAAAAGTTGTCGTTATGCTGTTTGCCTCAAGAGTTATGCACGTGGGTTTATATGCAGACAGTAACTTACGCTGTTTTTTTTCCTGCATATACAGGACCCCGAGAATGCACAAGTTCTTATTATCCCTGATGTTATTGTATATGGAGATATATACTGTACAAACTCGAAGTTAACATTTTCACGCAACTGTATCAGCGTTGAAAGTTCATCAGTTAATGCAACTAAAGGGACCTTTAGTTCTCAGTGGACAATAGAAGATATCATCAAAATTGAGTCTCAGTGGTGTTTAGAGGTGAGTTCTGTTAGATCTTCATTTGTCGGTCAATGGGTTTTTTTTCTGATACTTGAGGTGTATTTTTTAGGTTGAGACTGCCTTTGTCAACGTCCTTCTGAAGTCCAGGGAGCCTGAAGGAGTTGACAGTGCAAAAGATATTTCAGGTCTATCATAAAGTACACTTTTGTTTATGTTTGTGTGGCTCAAGCGAGGGGGTTCCTTAAATTGTTAGCTGAATAAGAAGGGCATACACATCATATCTCTCTATTGGTAGTTTTTGATGTTTACAACGTCAAGTCTAGTCTAACTAACATCTGTACTCATGCTGACAGGAATTGATCTCCTAAAATTTTCCGTGTATGACCCTAAATGGTCTAAAGAAGTAGAAACCATCAAATCGCTGGACTCGAGATACAAGAATATTTGGTTTGACACCATAACGTAAGTCAGTTAGAAATACTTAGTGGCACCATTGTGTTAGTATATTCATTGCAGTTCTTCCCACTTCCTCTCCTTCCATTATTATGTTGGTGGTATATGACTCAACTGGTCTTTTGCTCAAGTCTTGAAATATATATATATGTGTGTGTGTGTGTGTGTTTGTTTTCCACATCGTTCAAAGAATTGATGACAGTGAACAAAATATATCTTATAAAAATAGATTTCTATTGCAATCAACTGTTTCTTTGTTACCTAAATATATTTCTCATTTCTTGGAAGCTGTACGAATCAACAATTATGAAAAGAGCTTTTGTCCTTGACAAGGGCCACTTATGTTTTAAATCCTGTAAAAGGTTTGGGGAGAAAGAAGTTCATAAGATAGGAAAACTATCTGGTGGGTTCTAACTTCTAACTTCTAACTTTTAATTTGTCGTTGTTGAATGTTGACAGAGAAAGCGAGGAAAGTGTTTTTAGTGGACATGATTTGGGAACTTCACTCACCAAGTGAGTATGAACTATAATATCTTCGAATAATGTGATTTATAGTTATAAATTTTGGTGAATGGAAATCTGACAATTTGGTGATGTACTCTTCTTTTATGTTATTTTATGAGTTTATCTTACCTCTTGATATGTGCTGTTTGTACTCTGATCTTCAGTCTCGCTGATTCCTTTGAAGATCTAGTCTACCCCCAAGGAGAGCCAGATGCTGTAGTAGTTAGGAAGCAAGACATTGAGCTTCTGAAGCCAAGGCGTTTCATCAACGATACAATCATTGATTTTTATATCAAGTAAGTCACTATCTTTAATATTAAACTTAACATTAGAAGGAAATAAAAACTGTATCTGTATAGCAGAGGATGCCTACAAGCCAAAAGCAAGGCATGTAAAAACCTTTTCGTATATTTGCTTTCATTTATATTTACCGTTTCCGTGCATAACCTAGTTCGAAGCAACTTGTGAAGTTGGGTCTGATACTTGCAGGTACCTTAAGAATCGAATTCCACCGAAGGAACGGGGCAGATTCCACTTTTTCAATTGTTTCTTTTTCCGTAAGCTGGCTAACTTAGACAAAGGTACACCTAGCACGTGTGGAGGAAGGGAAGCATACCAACGTGTGCAGAAGTGGACTAAGAATGTGGATCTTTTTGAAAAAGATTATATATTTATTCCTATAAACTGCAGGTTAAAACATATTTCACAAAGATAACTATTTTATCTTACCGCTCATAAGATGACTTATACTTGCATTTGATTGCAGTTTTCACTGGAGTCTGATTATTATCTGTCATCCTGGTGAATTGGTTCCTTCTCATGGTAAGATTAACTTGTTATGTTATTTTCTTATGCTTGTTGACTTAGTTTTACAGCTTATAAATAAATTTTCACTCTTCTGATGATGAAGTCGAAAACCCACAAAGGGTTCCCTGCATCTTGCATCTGGACTCAATTAAAGGAAGCCACAAAGGTGGTCTTATAAACATTTTTCCGAGGTATGCTCTATCACGTTTCATTAAAGTTCACTGCAATTGCATTTACTCGTTCTTGACAGTTGGGTTTCGGGAGACCATTTTAAGTCGTGATACTTTTGAATTTTGTCTCGAGAGTTATTGCTAGTTAATTCAGTGTTGGGTGCACAATATGCATAGGAGGCTGGATTTAATTTGTTTGTTTGAGATCAAAGCTGACTAAGGGGTGTTTGGGTTTACAGTCGATGATGGATTCTTTCTATGGGAAGTCTGTTAATTTTCACCCATTTACATCTTTTTATTATTCCGTTTTCCCACTTTTCCTTATCATGCCTAGTCAACTACATGGATGATATCATAACTATTTTAATGTCATCATGTGGTCACAGTTACCTACGTGAAGAGTGGAAAGCGAGGCATGGAAACACAACAATAGATTCCCCAAGAGCTCCAGATATGCTGTCCATCTCACTTGAGGTATTGCTTCCTATCAAGGATGAAATTATCTTGAGCTCAGATAGAAGGCACATGTCAAAACTAATTTAGTTCTCTCATGATTTTGTTAACCTCTGGTTCTAGATTATCTTCGTTTACGTAGTACTCCTGCATGTATGCTTGATAGATAAAGCTTAATTCGGTAGACTTGTTTGTGTGTAACATATCAAGTCAGTTTTGGTTGGTAGGCTATCTTCGAAAAACATGTTGCTATTCTAGTGGAGTCAACTGACTGATATTACCATGGTGGACTTTGTGAATTTCTTCAGTGGCTTTTCTGATGCTATTGCTTTTGACTAATGCAGCTTCCGCAGCAAGAGAATTCATTTGACTGTGGCCTCTTTTTGCTCCACTATTTGGATCTTTTTGTGGCTCAAGCTCCTGCTACATTCAATCCATCCCTCATCACAAGATCGGCAAATTTTGT